TCCTGCTCTGCCGCAGACTCACTTTTTGACCTTAGGAAAGCCAGTTAACTTGTCTGGGACTCTGTTTTCCCCATTTCCAGAACAGGTTTCACTGTCATAGGCGCAGTGCCGGCTCTAGGTTTTTTGCTGCCCCGAGCAAAAAAATCCCCCCCCCCCCCAAAAAAAAAACCATCGGAAAAAAACTCTGTTGAAGGGGGGAAGACCAAAGTTGTTGAGCAAAAATAAAGGGCTCCAAGACTTGAGCCAAAAAAAAAAAAGGTTGGGGCCAGGCACTGAGTGTTTGTAGGGTTGCCAGGTGCCCGGCATTTTCTCCTCCTGGCCAGGGAAAAAAAATCAGAAAATACCAGACATCTCAGATGTCCGGTATTCTCTGAATTGTTTTTACTGGACAGGAGGCGAAAATGCCAGACTATCCGGGTGAATACCAGACACCGGCAACCCTAGGCAGGAAGGGGGTGGCCTACCTGGGATTTCCACTTGATGTAGGCAGAGGGGTGGCTGATGGCTGGGTCCAGGCTGTAGGTCTGGCGGAGCGGAGCTTCTCGCCGGCTGCTTGGCGATTGCTGGGGAGGGGAGGAGCAGGAGAGGAGACAGGGTGGTCAGCAGGCTCTGGGCGTGCATTGGTGCCAGCTGGCTGCCCCGCCACGGCCCTTTAAAATTGGCGGGGCAGGGCTAGGTGTTGCCAGGGGTGGCACCGGCTGCTTACCTGAAATGCTGCCCCTGGAAAAGTGCTGCCCCAAGCACCTGCCTGATTTGCTGGTGCCTAGAGCCGGCCCTGCATAGGGGCAAGGGAAGACTACGGAGCAGAATTTTTCATGTTTTGTAAAGTGTTTAAGAAGACTGTTTCCTACCTGACCCTGTAGGTGGCAGTAAAGCAGCAGAAGCCGCTTCAAGTGCCTATTACAACCCAGCCAATCCCCACAATGTCTATATGCCGATGGTAAGCAACTGGTTGAGTTGTCTGGAGAGCAGAGGGGTAAGAGGAGCCAACACACTTGCTGTTCAGCTGCTACAGCTGAATCGTGGGCAGCTTTGACATCTTACTGCAGCAGATGCTCTGATGATAGGGCACAGCATGAGCTGTGCCCTATCGCATCAAGTCTAGTATCTTGCTGCTGGGTGTCAGAGCAGGCTGTTTTCCCATCCAGTCTAGCCATGGGCAGTGCTTGATCCTCAAGAGGCTAGTGGATCCACCCACATGCACCAGATTAGTTGTATTATGGTGGGTCTAGGTGTCATTTCTTCCTGACTCCCTGCAGGCAATTGACTGCCCAAAGCAGGAGGTTTAGGAACATTTGACCTCTGAATGGCACTGCTACAGATCATGGAACAATCTCTCCACACTTTCCTACAAAGGTCATCAAAATACGTAATCTTTGTTCCTAGACTGTCATGGTATTTTTCTGATCAAGAAGGGAGGGGAACTCTAAGACCTGTACAAGAACAGCTTTCCTGCAGAAATAATACATAGTTCTCAGTTTCCACGGGAATAGGGGGTAGCCGTACTTAAGAACTTAAAGGGAAGGGATGATGTAGTGTTAGTCTATTCTGGGTCAGATGGAGACAGATTGGCTTAAGGAGCCTAGATCAGTGTCCCTGCTTGTGGGTAACAACTCTCTGGGAGGTCACCTGTGGATCCCAGCCAATAAGCTCATCCCCATGCCTGTTCCACCATAGCAGATCTACTCAAGCAAACTTCTAATATGTGATATGATGCCACAAGCTGAGTTATACTGACAACACACATGGCTCAGTCCCTGTCTCGGAGAGCTTGCCATCTAAAGATCTGTCCGAATTTCCACAGGAACTGCAGGATCACTGGGGAGGCTGAGAGGAAGAGGAGGGTAAAAATAATGTCCAGTCACAGGGCTGCTTTCTCTGAAGTACACACAGGTTGATGGGCTACTGTAGGGACTTTTCTTGGCTCCATATTTTGTTGTGGAGGTTGGCAAAGGCTCGGGTGCAATTGATCCTAGGAAGTAATGACCAGGGGTGGCTGTAGCCCAACACAGAGCCCAGCATCTGTGACTGTCAGCTGAGTATCTCTCAAGCACAGGCAAAGGTTGGGTGCACAAGTGAAGCCTGGGAACATCCAGAAAGTGGAACGTCTAAATGCAGCAGGGCCCTGTGTCAAACAGACATGGTGACTGATTCTTTCTCTTGTTTTGCAGGACCAGCCACCTCCTTATGCACCTCCTGATGAGAAAAAGAACAACTAACAGCAGGAACCCACCCACCAACTGCTCATGTTCCTTCTCCCTGAAGACACTGCCCTCACCTCCCTCCCCCTCAGTTCAGTGTATCTCTAGGCTTCCATGTGTGTATAGTATACATAGTGCTGGGTCCCCCCCCACTAAAATAGCGAGTGTGGCAATACAAGTGGAACAGCAGAGGCAGCAGCAGCATTTTCCTGCCTGTTTGCTTTACGTCGAAGGGCCAGAGTGGAGTCCCTCTGAGGCTTTTGCTGTGAGTTTGAGGGGAGGGCTGAAGTCTTAGACCAGCAGAGAAAGCAAATAACTAACATAGGGATAAAACATTAAGGCTTCTTGATTTTAATTTTTTTTTGAATGAAGTAAAATGGTTTAAGACGATAGCTTTAAAGTTC